ATTCAATCGTTATTTGCTTGAAGACAAATCATCCCCGGTGTATAACTTAAAGAAGAAATAAAAAATCGTACACATATACAAGTCAGATGAAATAATTCCATGAAACAATAAACATTAACTTTTGTTTAATAACTAACAATCAACGAGGAGAAATATGAGATTCAACATGGGATTTGCCTTGTGGACCTTGAGTTCTGATAAAGAGTCTATATTGATCAAAGGTCATGGGAGGGTATAAAGGAGGATTATGAGTGGATACAAAAGTTCTTGTAATGGTTGGATCGGAATATCACTTTTAGGATTGTAGAAGAAAGCAAGTGAAACTCTATCTTTCTCCGAGTTCACTATCACTCTATGCTCCACACTCTTGTTACTTGTAACATTCTTGGTCCTATAAGTAGTCGAAAAAGGTTGCAACATTTGCATTCAATTAGGCTTTCAGGTAGTTTACAAATGAAGTTTGTTGTGATATACTTGATGTCGAAAAGGGTTGCGACATTTGCATTCAATTTCATTAGAAACACTTTGCCAAAGTTTAAAGCTTGGCGATGTTGCTGAACAATGTGATAACTGATTTGCATTGAATTTCATTTCGAAACACTTAGCTTGGCGATGTTGCTGAACAATGTGATGACTGATTTGCAGGCGAATGATGAGGCAGATTCGAAAGACGTTGGGAAATTTGACATTTATTTATTTCATAAACCAAGAAGCCTTGTTTGTGTTTGCAACTTTTGCATAACGATACTCACCATGTTTTCGATTCATTTTACGAGTAATTTACAGTTCTATGACATCTACGGTCATGAAGAGGAGGACTATGATTCGTCTGATCAGTTCTGGTATTATTACTACATTAATCTCCGAACAAATACATCCCTTGTTCTTGTCTCTTGTTTTCTCACATCTACTACTTTCATTGAAACAGGGAAGAAGATACTCTTTTGGACTACTGAGAAACCCGGTTTAGTGGAGACTGTTTTGGCTCTTGTTGTGTACAGGTTTTAGAGATTTTTTTGGGGGGGGAATCTATGTAAATATAGGCAAAGAGAGGCTAGTCTATTTTCTTTCCCTGTAACTTGAGAGGTGTTCTCGTTTTTGTTGATTTGCCCTCTTTAATCCATTTTCTTTTTTTCAGTCACTATCAAAGAGACTCTTAATGATTTGGCAAATAACTGATTTAAGAAGCTAACATTACACATCATCTATATTCATAAACTACGAAAACAAAATTTCTATTCATTTACAACAGATTGACTCTATCTTCATAGATGCTTTAGCCTTCCGTGGTTCTCCTCCCCTTTTTCAATCCAAACTATATTTTATGTTAAACATGCACATGGGTTTACTTGACTCAAAAGGACAATAATGGAGGCTTTTGCAAGGACAATAGTTGTACACTCTACCACTAGATCATCTCCAATCTACCAATAGCCACATGGTAAATAGGTGAGTAACAACTTTGAATGTGGCCGTTTTTACAATAAAAGGCTTAACACAACCGTCTTTAAGACATCCAACCAAAGATAAGTCTTTTTTGGTCAGGAACATGCGTTTCTGACTCACCTCAATATCCTTGAGGTTTGCCCCGCCTTTGGGATAACAGTAATCTTCAAAACCCTTCTTTCTCTATTGAACTGTCCTTCTCCATCTCTACTACACTGGTCTACAACTGCANAACCATTTTCTCTCTTCTGTCTCTTAGAACTCGCATCCCTTAGCATCTACAAGACAAAAATCATTTGCTTACTTTAATATACTCTTAGATGAGCTAGCTAGCTATTCAAGTTTATAAAAAACACACATCCTTAAACCTTTACCTCTTCAGTTGGTTCAATGGAGGTCTCTGCTCCTTTCTCTACTACAGAGAGAACAAGTTTCATCGCAACTACTGCATTGTTGAGGCAAGAAAAGACAAAGTTGGAGGGACTTGACATATCATATCCCAAAATAGACTGTGTAACAAAACAAGCGCAAATTCAGGATTCGATTTTCTCAAGTACAANAAAGATTTTCAACTTTTCGCAAAACAAGAAGTTACCTTGCAGAGATCATTCAAGGAAGGTTTTTCGAGGGTTAGAGAACCGGAATAGTCAAATACAAGCGAAGTATCAATAACCCTTGCGTGGTCAATCTTCAATGCTGAAG